GCAGACCAGCACCACGCAAGGTATTTGTGATAATAATGGACCACCCCGCCCAATCACTTTGATCATTGAGGGGATGGGGGTGGTTTAAGGATCTTTTCTGAAGGAGACATATTAATAACAATGTTGAGACGTTGAGACCCATAACGAATCAACGCCGATGTTGAAACATTGAGACGTCAAGATGGATTGAAACAGCGATGTCGTTACTTGTGAAACGGTGATGTCGTTCGTTTGAGGCCGAGGGACGGCTTGAAATGGTGATGCCGTTAATTTGAGATCGAGAGACGATCTTAAAACGGCGATGCCATTAATTTGAGATCGAGAGACGGTCTTGAAACAGTGATGTCGTTAATTTGAGACCGATAGACGGTCTTGAAACGACGATGTCGTTACTGAATATGAAATGATGATACTGTTCGTGTGAGCCGAGAGACGTCTGCCACGGAAGCCGCGATGCGGCAAGCACGGAGGCGACAACGAAGAGGCCGCAATGCGGCGAGGCCAAGATTTGGTAAAAATGATTAACCTCTCTCTGATACCATGTTAAGAGACACACACACACACACACACACACACACACAGAGAGAGAGAGAGAGAGAGAGAGAGAGAGAGAGAGAGAGAGAGAGAGAGAGAGTCTTGTAGTAAATTTCCCTTAGGTAAAGTATTGAATATGTACACCTATATATATACAAGTAGAGGAGGGTGAGGTGTCCTCTCATAACCAATATGGGACTAAACCTAATATCAACAACAAGAAATCATAATTTATGACTTATATCCAAAAGAAAAACACAATATATGATAAATAGCGTAAAAAGCTCTTTATAATATTGTGCAAGGATGAAAAATCTCTAAATAACTTTGCATAAACTCCAAAAATAAGATCGTACATTCTTTCTAAGTATTAAATAATTAATAAGTATCTTACCTAATACACAATAAAAAAAATGCCCACGCTAAAAACAATCATGGTTCCTAAATCAGATTTATACATACTCTTAAATATCAAGACTTTCAAATAATAATCTTTCTATAATCTATTATATCCTCTTTTTCAAGGATTCAAGAGACAAAACACTAATCAATAGTTACCAACTGAACATGAGACATAGTCTTCAACTCCATAAAAAATAAATCTTTAAGTCTACAAACCATTTGCCAAACATTATCCAATGTATGCACGTGCACATACATATACAAGCCACACATACTATAAACTATTTGACAAACTTTTTCTTATATCATATTTCATAAACCATTGAATTATACAGAGATTTGGCTTAGTAGGTGACGTGGTGGGTTGAAGAGAATGGATGAACGTACGTAATTTAAAGTGTAGAGATGAAAAAGAGGTTATGTAAAAGAGAAAATGAAAGAGTGGTTACTTGATGGGTTCATAACATATGCATTTAATTAAAAAAAGTTATGGAAACTTTAATAGCCTACAAAACTAATTAAATCTTATCATTATGATGATATGCAATTAATTTAATTTAATTTATTTTAAAACTCATTGAATGAGACTTTGAGATAAATCAAACAATTAAAGTTAAACTTATCAATTGAGAGGGGTGAAAGGGACAATCAAAAGTTTTAGCATCCCAATCATTTTTTATATGTAGTATAGAGGTATCTATGGATAAATTTTGGCCAGTTGACTTCACATATTTATAACAATCTCTTTTAATGGTTTACGATTTTAATATTTGATAGTAACATCAACTATTGTATTAAGGAAATGAGTGCTGCTACGGGGACCCAAAATATGGAACCAAGGGAGGAGACATGTGAGGTGTCTCATCCCTATTGCATAATGAGTTGGCATGACCAACTCATTATGAAATAGGGAGGGGACACCTCACCTGTCCCCTCCCTTGGTCCCATATTTTGAGTCCTTAAATTATTTTTCTAAGAAAAGAGTGCTGTTACGGGGACCCAAAATATGGAACCAAGGGAGGGGACAGGTGAGGTGTCTCATCCCTATTGCATAATGAGTTGACATGAGTTGGCATGACCAACTCATTATGCAATAGGAAGGAGACACCTCACCTGTCCCCTCCATTGGTCTCATATTTTAGGTCCTTAAATCATTTTCCTAAGAACATTCGTTGTACTAGAGAAAGTATTCAGTGAGTAGGGTCAGATTCGTGCACGAATCACAATGTAGAATGAAAACATTCATTAAGTGCAATTATCGAAAATTAAAAAGTCGCATTAAGTTGATGGATGCAACAACCTTCAAGCTTTTCGCTAATCATGAGATGGGACTCCATTGTGCATTCAATTACAAATCTCTGAACAATATTCCTCCGTTACGATCACATTCCAATCCCCGAGAAAGCGTGCAATTTTTAAAGAGAATCCAATCACCAAAGTACTTTCTTTTGTGGCCCATATAGCATAAAACGTAGCTGTATATTTTATCATCTCTGCTGTCTTCACACAGCTTTATAGCCCTTATAGCCTTCTCCCTTCAGCTTTTCTACGTGCTACTCTATGTTCCTTTTTAAAATATCATACAATAAAGCAAAGAATTCAGCTACTATGAGATCAAAAGATCGCCACCAACCTGAGGTTAAAAAAAATGCAAATAGTAGCTGCCCTCTTGCGACCTTTCGTTTGCACTTAACAATTCTCAACTCATTTATTAGCACTCAACACCATGATGATTCTGTCATTTTCTGAAAGAAAAATTGCAAATAGCACCCATCCTTCTCATGTAATTAATTAAGAACAAGAGATAAGTGCTAATAAATAAATTGAGAGATGTTTAGTGATGGGGTTATGTGCAATTATCCAAATTTAAAAAATTGTGTTAACACAAATCCCTCTGAAATTTGTGGGGTTTTGCACATAACCCTCTGACCATTTTTGTACCTGCATCCCCCAATACTTTCTCCCAAAAAAAAGCTCCTTGAACTTAAAAATTTTCTCACCAAATTCCTTCGTGTAAGCGAATAACAAAAATATCCTTGACTAAGATTTAGTCATTTCTATTTTTCATTTACGGACAATGTANAGAGCACCGGCACCAGAGACTTCCACTGTGTGTACCTCTCGTCGACGCTCGTCTCCCCTGTTTTCGCTCTATCTTTCATCTTCAACCTCTCTCTCTCTCTCTCTCTCTCTCTCTCTCTCAAAAAAAAACCCCAAGTCAGAGCTCCCAAATCCAGACCTCTGGCAACTCCGATCGAGCTCGACCAACTCCGCCTCCCTCCCAACGTCGGACCCCGAGTTCCCTCCCTCCCTTCCTCCTCTGTCAACGTCACCCCTCCCCCCAAATCAACAGCAGCCCCAAAATCGGAGCTCCCCCAAAATCGTCGACGGCATTTTTGCAATTGTCCCGAACCCTCAAAAAAAAGCCCCAAATCAAGCCTAATTTCTACCGCCGACGAACGTCCAACCTCCGATCACCGCCCGAAGCTCGCCGAAGCTCGCCACCATCGACATCCCCTCGCCCCCGCTCAGCATCGCCGCCGGCTCATCACCCTCGCCCTCACCATCACCTCGACCTCCGAAATCTGAGACCGCCGCGAGATCCCTCCCTCCCTTCCTCCTCCGCGACCAATCGCCGCCCGCCTCTCCGCCACGAACCCCCGCCTCTCCCTCCCTTCGTCTCTCTTCTCCCACACTTTTAAAACTTATTAGTTTTTTTGAGAGAAAGGATGGATTATCACAAAGATAATCCAGCCAGCTAAATTAACAAAAAAGGTTGTTACAAAAAAAAATATACACCCCCAACCAAGAGTGCATATTAAAGTTTAAAGTCAAGATTACACAATAAAAGTATAACCCAGCACAACACTGCATAGCCCCAAAGGTCTCTCCCACACAGAGAAGACCAAAACAAAAAACCAGCTGCTAACAACACTGCATAGCCCCAAAGGTCTCTCCCACACAGAGAAGACCAAAACAAAAAACCAGCTGCTAAGAGTTTCATAGCTAAACAAAGTTTTAAAACACAACCACCAGCCAACTTCAAAACAAAGCCAAAACCTGATTTGAGTGTAGATCATTCTAACTGGATCACCTCATCTCCCATAGCTCTGTTCTCTCTGTTATCTGCACCCACAGCAAGCAATCTATCCGCATTCCTTTTCCTTCTCCTTTCTTGCAATCTGATAGCTCGAGCAGAAATATTTTTAGAACCTAGCCAAAATGACGAAAATGTCATAATTTTGTTCAAAAGCTCAAGAGATCTTTTCCTTTTGTTAGAAAAGAGCCTATCATTTCGTTCCTGCCATACACACCAAATAAAAGAACAAATGAAGACATCTCTTCTCATTTTGCCATCATCAATCTCTCCTGCTTTCAAATTGTGCCACATCTCTTTCAGAGAATTCCAACCAGAATCATCTTCAATCTTCAATTTGTATTGAATTGATCTCCATATAGAGTAAACAAACTCACACTTAATGAATAAATGAGTATGACTTTCTTCCAGCTTTGAACATAAGCAACATATTTTTTTCTAAATGTATTCCTTTTTTCTCCAGCACATCTTTTGTGTTTAAACCATGTCTGAAAGCCAACCAGACTAAGAATTTCACTTTCAAAGGAATATGTAACTTCCATATATCTGCACAATCATACCTCAGTCCTCCATCAATTAGAAAAATGTAATATGAATGCACTGTGAAACCCCCTTTCGATTCCCATAACCAATTTCTTTTATCCTCTTTTTGCTCTAAACATATGGGATTAAGAAGATTCATTAAAGAAAGATACTGTGACACTAAAGTCCCAGTTAGTTGTCTTTTAAATTGCAAATCCCAACTCCAAACACCATTTTCTTTTTTCCTCATATTACTCACAGTAGCAAAAGGATAAGCTGTGTTAGCATATAAGGATGGATTTTTAAAACTTATTAGTTATAGTTTAGTTGTTATTATTATTATTATTCAGCGATATTTTGAAGGAAAAAAACTAGTTAGCTCCAAACAGGCATGATAAATTGTTTATTGACTAATTAGCATTTTCGTTGAATGAAATAACACATATTGTAATGTTGCTTTATTCTGTAACATCATATTGTAATGTTGCCTTATTGTTTAGAAGCCATTTGAGTGACTTCAGCTTATCATGCTTCCTCATGATGGTTTATTTTGCAGCTATTGTGTACAAGGAAATTCATATTTAGGAAAGGCAACAGCAACATTGCCTTTACTTAACCATTGTGTACTTATTATGTTTGAAATATGAGAAATGTAATGCTCAGTGTAAAAATTGGTCACGAGTGTTTAAACTATGAGTGGTCCACATTAGGAAAAATGATGCCCATTTGTCAATTCATGCTTACGGTACCACTTTATAAATCGTTCCTTAAAATAGGTTAATGACATTTTAGTCATTTGATTTGGATTTGGTTTGGATTTGATTTGGATTGGGATCCTAACAGTTAACTTCTTATCCTTTGATCAGGTCCAAGAGCTCGCTGGAAACAAGAGACAACAAGAAGAGCTGCAGGAAAACTCCCCTGCTGACGATGAATAGATGAGGATTTTGAAAAAAAATGTAATGACTATTGATTGTAGTATGATTTTTGTTCATTCTAGAATTTGTGTAAATTTTTTGTTGTGTAAATTTGTGTAAATTTGTTTTTTTGCCAAGTTCTTTGAACCTGTCAATACTCTTGTCAGGTTTGGAATGAGATAATGCATTGATTGAATTTGATATTTAGAAGTTGTGAGTGAAGATACTAGTGTTCATGGTTTACTAATATGAGGGATAATTCATTTCATAAGAAGCTGAAAGTAGCTTGTTTTGCTACTTGTATATACTGCTTGTATCAACATCAATGATATTCATCACTTGCAATTGTTGGAGGATGTGGCGAGCTACAGCACCACTACCCTTGCAGAAATGTGGAGGACGACTTCCATTTCTCTTACGCCCACTTTCTTCTGGAATCCACCTACCCCAATTCCTTGCCTAAGGTAAATCTTCCTTGCCATTGAAGCTACACAAATTAAAAAGTAATCATTGCCAGACTAAAGAAAATTGTGCAACAGTCAATTGGAGAAAAATCTTAAACATATTCATGCATTCTTAGGGAGATCGATGAATTGTCGAGAAGGGATCTTGAACTGAGAATTGATCGGAGACGACCTGGCTCTGGTGGCGGGAACGGCGAGACTATTTGAAGCTCGGATCAATCGAGAATCGATGTGTGAGGAACGAAGCATCATCGCCATCTTCAAAGCGATGCGAGCGCAGACCTGAGCTCGACGGCGAGTCTGAGCGGGGGCGGCGAGCTCTAAAGTCGGCGATTTCGGGCGGTGGAAAGGAGGAGGTCGAGGTGATGGCGAGGGCGAGGGTGATGAGCTGGCGGCGATGCTGAGCGGGGGCGAGGGGATGTCGATGGTGGCGAGCTTCGGCGAGCTTCGGGCGGTGATCGGAGGTTGGACGTTCGTCGGCGGTAGAAATTAGGCTTGATTTGGGGCTTTTTTTTGAGGGTTCGGGACAATTGCAAAAATGCCGTCGACGATTTTGGGGGAGCTCCGATTTTGGGGCTGCTGTTGATTTGGGGGGAGGGGTGACGTTGACAGAGGAGGAAGGGAGGGAGGGAACTCGGGGTCCGACGTTGGGAGGGAGGCGGAGTTGGTCGAGCTCGATCGGAGTTGCCAGAGGTCTGGATTTGGGAGCTCTGACTTGGGGTTTTTTTTTGAGAGAGAGAGAGAGAGAGAGAGAGAGAGAGAGGTTGAAGATGAAAGATAGAGCGAAAACAGGGGAGACGAGCGTCGACGAGAGGTACACACAGTGGAAGTCTCTGGTGCCGGTGCTCT